ACGCCCCGATAATATAGCAAACTAAACTAAAATAATAATAAAAACGCTTCAAGAAATCACGCGTACGCTTACCATATTTGCAGAGCATGGTATTTAAGAATTGGTTCATGCTTAGCGTGCGTGTATCGAGTTATGGATGCACGCGGGAAGTCTGGAGAGCACGAAAGAAGTGTAAGAGTTGTTCCAGGCGACAGCGGAGAGTAACTCTAGGTTCTTGAGTGCTCTCGAAAGTGCATCCATAACTCGGTATACGCACAGCTAAAACATGAACCAATTCTTTTATGACATGGCGACAACAACTTGGGCGGTAAAACATGTTTTAATTGTGATTGACTACAAAGTTCTCGCAATGCACGGTGAAGGAAAACAAAGGTCATCAGGATCCTAACACGCCACAATCAGTTGAGCAACGGTTGAGCGAAAACGCTTAACCTGGTTTCCAAAATTGTCAATGAAAAATTTGTTTCTTCGAATTAATTGTAATGAAAATGTAGGCAGACAAAGTGCACAAGCAGTGATAAACACTGTTTTCATTACAAATGTTCATTATTGGTTAGGTCGATCTCAAACATTCGAAAGAAAACTGTTTACACGACAAAATTCTTCGGACTTTGGCAAACGTTTTTGGATTCAAAGTTTCCACTTTAAATTGCGGATTCAAAATCCCTGGGGAGACACGACCAAACCGGGGTTGTTTTATTTCAGATTTGTTCACTTGTGTGTAAATAGCAAAATCAATCCGGTAATGAAAACCCCGGGGGTACTCCTAGAAAAGTTGGGTTGGGGTGTGCGGCCCACTTCCCAAAACCCTTACCCTATTGATAACCAAAATCTGCGATTTTTGATACCCTATTTATGACCTTTGCGGCTGGCACAGTTGCCCTAAACATAAGTTATGAAAGGCTTTTGTTGATGGTCTCATCGATAATGATGAAAAAGTAGCTTCTTCTACGAAACATACCCAATTCAAGACTAGAGTGCAAAAATGACCAAAATGGCCTAAATCGATACCCTATTTATGACCAAAACGGTTGAAAGACCATACCCTTTGGGGCCGCACATACCTATATAGCACATATATGGGAGTACCTCCCCCCCCCCCCCCCCCCCCCCCCCCCCCCCCCCCCC